AGGGCCGGTTATGTAGCAAGGGTTCAAAAAATACTCCTGAGTGGGTATGTGCTTGAAACCAAGATCCCATGTTGGTATAAGAAAACAGTTCAAATTATAATGCATATTTATCTGGGACATTTTCTAGAACCTTGTGTTGGGTTTCTTTTTTTATTGAGGCATAATCCACATATAGCAAAATCCATGTACTGCCATCTCATGGTATAAGGTATTGCCAGCAACCCTAAAAGTTCTTGTGTCCCTTTGAAGACACACATGCCCACTCAAGGCCTGGTGAATGGAGATTACGACTTGCTCAAATGCCCCACTGGTGGGGTCCCACATCTGCAGACACTGAGTCTGTGTTTTTCGCTTTGGAAGCCTGTCACTGTGGCTGGGTACACTAAGGACTCGTTTGTTCCTTCTCTTGGAGTGGAGCCCACAGGGTGACTGGGGCTCAGCTATTCAGCTCTTAGCCAATTAAGATACATCTATATAGATAACAGCAATAAAGCAGGCTCACTTGGACCTGCTCAGTCACCAAAACTACATACTGGGGTTTGCATGGAGGACCCTTCCTTTCTTCCTTAGTCTCTGCCTGCTGAGACATCTCCTTTCCCCTCCTCTCCTCTGCCCTTTCCACATGCCTTCTTCCAAAGAGAGGACTGTACTTACTGCCTCCATAGAACATATTTGGGAAGTGAGGTCCAGGAGCATCCAGAACGCTTCCAGGGCGCACAAAGAGGAAGGCAGCAGAGTGGGGGCTTGAAGGTGAAGGAGTGGTGCATGCTGGGAATAGGGAATGCTGTGGCTCGGATCTGAGAATTGGCTGCTCCGAGGGGCTAGGAAAGGTTCTGATGGTCTGATCCTAGTGGAGTGATACCCGGATAACAGCAGAACCCTGCCTGGGTCAGGTTCTCAAGAGGGTTTCTTTCCACATCCATTGACTGGTGCCTCAGCCTGGCCAGCCCTGGCTGCCTGTCTAAGGTACCCAGAACCCCAGCCTGGCTGACAGGCCATCTGGCTGGGATTATCTGCTGAGGGCCCAGGCCAGTGGGTGGGCTAGCCGACTGGATAACAGGATGCAGCTGTGGATGGCTTAAGCCCCGCCCAACTACTTACAGTCACAGGCCCAGTGGGGAAAATCAGTGAGTCTGCTTTTAGGGAGCCCTAATCACTCAAGAGGGCCCTAAGTCACCCTGAGTCCTCAGCCCGGCTCTATAGACTGAGGGAGGCCTCATGGAACCGGGGCTTTCCTATATGTGAGTTCTAACTTGAAACCTACAGTGTGCAGAATCCACATCAGTCCTGACGTGTAGAGAGCTCTCTGGAAAGTTCTCTACTCAGAAATAAACTTGCTGCTGACTGTCTAAGTAGAAGCTCAGGGCCCTGGAGTCTGCATCTGACCCAAGTTCTAGAAGGTTCATGTTGAGCAGAGTCAACAGGCAGACCTGGCACTGCTCCGTGCACCCTAGCCACTGGTGGGCCCCAGTCAGCCACCCAGTAGTGTCCCTGGGGAGCTGAGGGAGGAGGTGAACAGACTGAAAGTTCTTCCTGGGAGCTCAGCAGATAGACTTAATAGCAGGATGTGTGGGATGAACAGAAAAGAAGTCAAGATTAAGGTCTGGGTTTGGGCCTTCAGGATTGGGTGGGGCCATTCGCTGAGAGGAACAAATGGGAGAGGACTGAGATCCAGGGACAGGGAAAGAGGGAGGACTCAGGCCTCTGCTGGGCACGGGAAAAGCTAGTTGTTTGGTGCTCGTTTCTTTATTTCTCTCTCTACTCATTTGTTTTTGAGACAGGGTCTCAAGGTAGCCCAGGCTGGCTTTGAATTCACTAGGTAGCTGCGGATACCCTTATATTACACAGCCCCTTGTCTACCTCCAAGTGCTGGAATTCCCATATCCAGTTTTAGAGATGCTTGTCTGAAACCTGTGTAGCTATGGAGAGGTGTCCAGAAAGAATTCCTCATAGGAAATGGTAAGTCATGAACTATGAAAGTCTCCAAAGCACACGTGCAGTATCCCAGAGCTTTGGAGCGCTGAGTCCTTCAGTGTCTGGCCCCAGAGAGAGCCTATGCATTTTCTTAGAAACATATACAGTCAACTAGGGATGGTGGTACATGCCCTTGACCCCAGCACTCAGGAGGCTAAAACAGGGGGGTTGTTGTGAACTCAAGACCAGTCTCCTAAGTTCTGGGCTGTAGAGCAAGACCCTGTCTCAAAAAAACACACAAACACACACACACAAAAGAAAAACTAAAATCAAGGCCCTTAGAAGAGCATCTACTAATACTGTAGCTATAATCTAAATATTAAAGACCAAATTGACAGTGAAGCTGTTGCTCCATCCAGTGGTGGGTTGGTAACTCCTATAATTCCATAGTCATACTGGTGGGGGAAGGGGGTTCTGTAGATATCCGGCTAAGGATGCAAGCATTCAGAATTTCTCTTTGTCATGGAGTCACAGGACATGCTGGGCCAGCTCATCTTTGTGGCCTGAACTACATTTGATGGAAATGTCAAATTGCAATTACAAATCCATGTCCAGTGTCACCTAGCACTCACTCAATGCCGTGGACTCCTGAAATCTCTTCACAGACTGTCTGGTCCCCTATCAAGGACCCCTGGCCTACGGAAAGAAAGGCAAAGAGACCAAGACTGAACCATGAGAAGGAGGATTCAGCAGTGGCCGGGTTGTAAGAGGAGAGTGTGTTTGATTGTATGTGTGTCCTGCAGCTATGCTGGTGATAGTTACAATATGAGATAAGGGGTCAAGGAGATCACGACAAGGTAAATTAAAGGATCTTGGCAGGACTAGGGATGGAACCCAACAGACAGAGCCCTCGCCACACAAGCCTGAGTTTGGATCCCCAGAACCCAAGGAAAGCTAGGTGCTAGTAGCACATGTCTGCCATTCCAGCCCTCCTGCAACAGGGGAGACTGAGACAGGAGAAATCCCCCAGTAGCTCTCAGGCCAGTTAATCGGCAGCGGTAGACAAGAGACCCTGTCTCAAACAAGACAGAAGGTAAAGACCAAGACTCCGGGGATAGAGAAACTGGGAGGCAACTGGAGGGAGCAGGTCCTAGTTATTAGATGGATCTGTGAGCACATATCCTCCATGTGCTACAAGAGAGGGTTAGGGGGGGCTGGAGAGATGGCTCAGTGGTTAAGAGCACTAGCTGCTCTTCCAGAGGTCTTGAGTTCAATTCCCAGCAACCACATGGTGGCTCACAATCATCTGTAATGAGATCTGGCGCCCTCTTCTGTCGTGTGGGCATACATGGAGGCAGAATGTTGTATACACAATAAATAAATGAATCTTTTTTAAAAAAAAAAAGTGATGATGCAGAGGAAGAAGGAAGATGAGGGCAGAGGCCTGGCGATGCTCCAGGCTGCTCCAGCTCCAGGCTGCTCCACGCGTCTTCCTTGTGTCTCCACTTCAAGGTCTCAGTTTTTTTTTAAATATTTATTTATTTATTATGTATACAATATTCTGTCTGTCTGTATGTCTGCAGGCCAGAAGAGGGCACCAGACCTCATTCCAGATGGTTGTGAGCCACCATGTGGTTGCCGGGAATTGAACTCAGGACCTTTGGAAGAGCAGGCAATGCTCTTAACCACTGAGCCATAAGGTCTCAGTTTTATAAAGAACACACAGCTGCTCCACGTTCGGTAGTATTGGATCAGGTCTGGAAACCCACGTTTCTAACCAGCTCCAGGTGAGGCTGATCCATGGACCACTCTCTAGGCTTTCCCAGTGCTCTTCCTATGCCCGCTGGGTCTTGGCAGTGGAGCATACACGGGAAGTGCTCATGGGCAGAGGAGAGACGAGAGAGGGTGGGCAGAGGAGTCAGAGAATGAAGAAAGAATCAGCCCAAGGGAGCCAGACCCCCATTCAAGATCCCCATTCCTCCTTGAGAGCCCTGGCCTTCCAAGGGCCCCTTTGAGTGGCCCCTGTGGATCTTAAGGAAGCCTGAGTTCTGGCCTGAGAGACAGAGGGACCCAGTCAGTGAGTGCAGCCAGGAGCAGTGAAGCAGAGGCTCAGCCTGGGGACTCGCTGTTCACCTCTCCAGCTTGATCTTGGCTTCCCAGCACACCAGCGCCGTGGCCTCTCAGGAAGAATAACAGCCCTGCCAAAGAAAGCAAGCCAGCTCAAGGCATTCAGGGCCCTTCCTTGGATGCTATGAGTTCAGCCATTTGGCAGACAGCCAGACTAAAAGAAAGTTCGGTTTGGCAGATGGACACGGAAACCTGTACAAAGAAAAGATGTGAGCCCACCCAACCCTCCTCTGCCATAGGCCAGTTCTCCCCTAGGAAGCTGGGGAAAGGCAAGACATGAGGGCTACACTCTGACCCTTGCTGAACCCCTTTTCCTATCACTTCCTTGAACACAATTATTGAGTAGCCACTGTATACCTGGTGGTGTGTTAGATATTGGAGATGAAATATTGAGCAAGACTGTATCCCTGACACTCTGGAGGGTACTAAGGACTGGTAAGTGTGATGTCAGTGAAATGACATGAGGGAGTGACCGTGTGAGTGGAGAGGTTCTGGAGAGAGTACAGGGGACGTAGCATGTGGAAAGGCCTAAGGTGGGCAGGTGGCTGTCTTGGAGGGATGCGTGGAGCACAGCCTCTGGAGTAGAACGAGAGATGAAGGGAAGGATGGAGGACGGAGTGGACTGGCTCTGGAGGAAACAGCAAATCCAGATTTTTTAGCTTTTCCTATAAGATGGGACCCTGGGGTAACGTAGAGCAAAGGAGGGGTGTGGCTCACCTAGTTTCAACAGGACCCTTCTGGCTGTCCAGCGGGGGACAGATGGTTTGCAACAAGAATAAAGATAGAAGCCAGTGGGGGAAACCTAGGGAAGGGAAACACTGACCTGACAGGGCACAGTCTCAGCCAGGGGTCTACCCTAGCTGCTGCTCCGTACTCTGCCATGGAGCTTTGTGGGAGGGAGCGACAGGAGGCTCCTCCCAGCCCCTGCCCTGTCACTGCAGCCCTCTGTCTCCCTACAGCTGGAGAAGTCCATCCTGAGGAGTTTGAGGTCAAACCTGGTGCAGGCCGAACAGCACACAGTCCCGAACCAGACAAGCACCGTGCTAGCACCGGGTGCCGACGTCGTGAACCAGACCCACAAGTTGACTTCTGTGGAGGCCCAGGTAACAGGAGAGCCACCAGAGGGCTTCCTTTCTCTGCCACTGTCCCAGTGAGGCCTGAAGTCCCCTGGCCTCCTCTCTCTGATGACACATCCACAGAGCCGGTCATCTTGTTCTAGACTGCAGTCCTGGGTCGGACTTCTCTGTGAAAACTCAAAGACAAGACTGGACTGGGCTCTTGGGAGCAAAGGAGGGAGCAAGGGAGTGGGGAGGAAGGAGCAACTGTTTGCTAAAGCCCTTGTGTGTGTCAGATACCACGTGAGACCCCAGATCCAGGCTAGAGCCGTAAGCAAAACAGTCAAACTTCTGTTGACCTGGACCCCACCAAGAAGGATACACGGCCCCTGTGTGTTACTCAGTGGCGGTGCCAGGGAGCCAGCATGGCACAGAGAGAAAAAGGGGTGTGCTGGGTGCATGGGTAGAATGGGAGGCTATGAGTCCAGACAGCAAGGTCAGAAGGACACCGGGATATAGTGCTAATAGGATGTGTACCAAGTTGCTAGGAAGAATACACTAAACAGGGAGAACAGCATGCATAAAAGCTCAGAGGTAGAGGCTGGGCTGCTCCAGGAATATGGAGGAGGGCAATGGCCTGAGAGACAGAACAAGGAAACAATAGATGGAAACTGAGTCAGGGGCCCAGTGAGGATGAGCTTTCCATGGAAGGGTTCTGAGCAGAGGGGCCACAGCATGAAAGGCTGCCTCAGACCGCTTTGTAGGAAAGGGATGAAGGGGGAAAGGCAAGGGCAAGGCACCCGGTGAGGCCAGCACAGGACACTGGATGAGAGGCAGCAGACGGTGAGCTAGCTGGCTTTCTGTTGCTATGATAAACACCATGACTAAAAGCAACATAGGGAGAAAGAGTTTATTTAACTTTTGCTTCCAGTTAACAGTCCATCATCGAGGGAAACGAGGGCAGGAACTCAAGCAGGAACAGAGGCAGGAACCATGGATGAATGTTGCACAATGGCTTGCTGTCCACGGCGGGCCCAGTTTGCTTTCTTATATGGCTCAGGACCACCTGCCCAGGAGTAGCATCATCCTTAGAGGGCTGGGCCCTTCTAAGTCAATCAACAATCCAGAAAATGCCCCACAGACATACCCTCAGGCCAATCTGAGAGAAGCACTCTCCTAACTGGGACTCCCTGGAGAACTCTGGGCTGTCAAGTTGACAGCTGAAGCTAACTAGGAGAAGCCAAGATGCAACGTGGCCTTAGGGGGAAAGGAAGTGTTGAGGGGCCATTTGGAAGATGGGGCTGATAGACCCATTTCATGTGGGGTCAAGGATATATATGCCTCTGGAGCCCAGACGGCTAGAAGATTGGCATTGGCGTGCAATAGCAGTAATGAGGAAGGGCAAATCAGAAACTGGATGAATGAGGGAGGGCCTGTGAATAGTAGTTAGCTAGTAGCTATGGAAACTCATAGCTTAGGTTGCAGTGGGTTAGTAAGTTTCAAGAGTGGCAGCAGGCCCTTGGGCCTATATAGCAATGCCCCCACAATCCTCCTGCTTGTTGAGACAGGTCCCAAACCAGACATCACACATAACGCTGGAGAACTCACTGACCACCAACAAGCTGGAAAGACAGGTGCTGATGCAGAGCCAAGATCTGCAGCGGCTACAAAGTCGCAACAGGTGAGCGAGGGCGGGGCTGGAGCTAGGCGAGAAGCTAGAGCTCCCCAACATCGGGATGGGGCCGGGGCCTGGATTTGCACTTGGGTGAAGGACCACTGTGGCATGGAGCTAGGATGAGGGACAAAGCTGGGGTAAGGTTGGGATAAATAAGGATCAGAACTAGGTTTGGCATCCAAACAAGCCCTGGTGATGATAGGGTGGGGCTTAGCCCAGGCAGCACCAGGCCTGGCTCCCAGATTTGGTATTGACAGAGACTGTCATTTTCCTTTGATTCTTTCACTTTCCACTCTCCTTCTTGTCATGGTGCTGGCGATAGATCCCAGTTCCTTGCACATGCTAACAAGCTCTCCACCTCTGCATCAACCCTCAGTCTCCTGCCCCAGCCCCCACACACTGCCCTTGTTTGGAGTTCATGTTGTTGGTTTTGTTTATTTGTTTGTTTGTTGGTTGGTTGTCAGTTTGTTTTGCTTGAAGTGGGTTCTCACCATGTAGCCCAGCTGTCTTCAAACTTACTATGCTCCTGCCTCAGCCTCTGGTACTGGCATGATAGGCTTGTGCCCCCCCCCCCCATCTCTCTCTTCCTGTTTTAATTTGTTTTTATTGTTGTTGTTGGTTTTTCGAGACAGGGTTTCTCTGTGTAACAGTCCTAGCTGTCCTAGAACTAGCTTTTGTAGACCAGGATGGCCTCTAACTCACAGAGATCCTCTGCCTCCCGAGTGCTGGGATTAAAGGCCTGCACCACTACTATCTGGCCTATTTTAGATTTTCATTACTTTATTAAGATAGAATTTTCACACCTTTCAGTCCACATTGTGAACTTTAACTGGCTGCCATAACTGTCAGTACACAGCCTGACCTGACCATCCACACCCCCGTCCTGGAGAAAGCAGTCCCCAGTGTCTGTCCTCACGGTCAGTCTGGTGCTCTGGACTAGTGTGCACTGGGGACACCTGAATTTACACAGACAAAAACAGCGCTGGGGTAGAGACAAGGCAGGGAAGCCCAACACCCAAAGCCCAGAGCGTGGTTCTGCAGTTGAGTGATGCACATGTTGTTCCTTTCTCCAGCTTCCCAGAGTTGCTCCAAGTCTATTTCCCAGTCCCCATTTCCAGCTTCTCACTAATCCGCCCAGAGATGCGACCAGTGCTCTCATACCTCACCTCCCACAGACAGAAGAGAACTCCTAGAGGGGAAGAGATGACTGGAAAGCTTTCTTTTCTTAAATGTGTCTTTGCTTTTTATACCAGGTTATGCCTTGGGCTTATTGTGCTAATGGAGCTGTATGAGGCTCAACTCGGAAGTGGAATACTCACTTAGTATGACCCAGGGCCTGACTTCCACTCCAGCCCTGCAAGTGAACAACTAAAGAAACACTAGCAATGCACCCCAGTCATGTGTCCCTGTCCCTCTACTCACTCCTATTCCTGTGACTCCGTGGCCTCTCTCTCCTCCTTGATCCGAGCTGCAGGGGACACAGACTACAAGGCTGTGTGATCCTGCAGCAGTCCCAGACTGAGCGTGTCTGAGCCACTGCACTGTGTGTGTAGCTGTCATACTCAGCCCCAAGGAAGCAGTGGGTGGGATGAGCGTTGGGGGAAGAGACCTTGCATCCCTGCCAAGAGACATGAGCCTCCCTGTGTCCCACCTGGCAGGGCACTGGAGAGCAGGCTGCAGGCTTTGGAAGCTCAGCACGAGGCCCAGATGAACAGCCTCCAAGACAAGAGGGAACAACTGCAGAACCTCCTCGGCCGGCAGACAGGGACCCTGACTAAACTAAAGAACAACCTGCAGGCCCTCATTAGCAACTCCAGCTCCCTGCAGCAGCAGCAGCAGCAGCTGATGGAGTTAGTACAACGCTTGGCCCGCATTGTAGCCCAGAACCAGCGCACTGGTAAACAGCAGTGGGTGTGCATGGGTTGGGATAGAGATCCAAGGAGGGGAGGGAAGAGACCTTAGCTATACCCCTGTTCCACTCCTGTCCTCAGTTTCCCCATCTGCTGAATAGAAGTGAAGTAACAACACAGACAACCACAGCCTATGCAGACTAGTCTGTGTCTCGGTTCCCCTTTTTCTTTTCTTTTTTTTTTTTCTTTTTCTTTTAAAACAGCTCTTAACTGATAGCTCTGGGTTGGAACTTGTTATGTAGACCAGGCTGGCCTCAAACTCACAGAGATTCACCTGCCTCTGCCTTCCAAGTGTCAGATTAAAGCCATGTGCCACTATACCCAGCCACCCAGCTCCTCTTGCTTCGCTTGCTACATGCCTCTCCAGGCCTCAGCTTCCCCATAAAATGGAGGGGTTGGACACAATAAGTCCCAAGAGTTTGCTCCCCTTAGCGCTCCTGCCGCTAGGCCTGGAGAGCCATATGGAGCTGGGAAGAATGTGGCAAACCCAGGCTGCCTCAGAAACATGCCCACCTTGCTCCACGGTCCTCTCTAGCACGTCCAGTTCCATCTGCGGTCTCCCAGACAATAAGCATTTATTGAGCACCCACTGTGTGCCAGGCAGAGCCTTGGGTGGCAGGAACTCAGCAGCACACAGCTGTCACGGTCACTGACTCCTGCAAAATTTCCTACCGCTTGGCAGGTCTCAGGGGAAGGAGGACTAACGCTTCTCCATTGAGGGCCCACTGTATGCCAGGTACTCTAAGCTGTCCACCGACAGCTTCCACAGTTCAGAAGGCTAAGGGACTGAGCCAGGAAGAGGGTACTTCAGCCTAAGGCCAGCAGGGGCACGAGAGGGGCTGGGTGGGGTGGGACTTCTTTCAGAAAGCACAGGTTGTATGGAATGGATACTGGCTTGGTAGTGAGATACCAAAGGGCCTCCTGCTGTAGGGCAATCAGCAACCACCTTGGGGGAGGCTGGGCCTTTGGTAAGGTACCTAACTTTAAGCACTTGGAGGAGTTCCAGGCTGGTAGAGAAGTGGGGCAAAGGATCCTCCTGGCTTCTCCCTAAGCCCAGCAGGCCAGGGAAACCTTGAGTGGGAGAAGTAGATGCCTTCTAACCCACAGGATATGCAATGACCAGAGCCATTATGGGGTTGTGCACAGCCTTGGCAGCGAGACAATCTGAGTGAGTCCCATGTGTGGGTTTCTCACAGACAGGGCCAGGGCCAGGGCTGGTGCCTTTCCCTGCAGGCCTGCAGCTAGGCTGCTCCCACTGTGGCTGAAGGTCTATTCTCTGAGCCCTAGGGGAGGGTGTGTCAAGCACCCACCCCTTGCTGTCCAAACACCTGCCCACTTGCCTGACTGTCACCAGGAAAAGACTTCTAGGAGTTGCTTTTGCCCTCCGTACAGATGGAGAACCCATGGGAGGCTGAGTGAATAGGAGCTGAGGGAAGGATGGGACAGCATGAGCTGAAGCCGGGTGGGCAGCCAGCCTCTTGCTCTGCAGAGATTCCTCCCAGCCAGTGATGGCTGTGGAGAAGAGGGGAAAAATTCCTGGCTATCTCAGAGACTCAGAGTCACAAAGTGAGAACAGGGACACAGCCCCCTCCATGTGATAGCAACCCCCGTGCAGCAATCCATCTGCCCAGTTTCCCTGTACTCAGATGAGACACCCAACCCCAGGAAAGGGTGGAGAGGGGAGGGGCTAATCAGTAGAGGGAGCAAAGTTCAAGCCTGGCTACTTCCCTCACCTCATAACTCACCCAACCTCTCTCACTTACATGATAGGACAGGAGCCTCCAGAAGCTCCTGTGCAAAGAACACACCAAAGACCACAGGGGCTTCGCATGGCGCCTACAACCAGAAGGGGGTGGAACCGGACAGCGTTAGCACCGGATACACATTCCACCCAACTGTTTCACTGACATATCAGTCCCATTTTATTTTTATGCTGTCCCCTGAATTATTTTTCTGGACCCCAAGATGCTCTCAGCAGAAGCTGACTTCCTAGGAAACCCTCCAGCACAATGGTTCCAAGTAAAGGCACTGTCATTGGGCTGCTCTTGTTGCTCACTGAGGAAATGGTCGGTGAGCAGAACCCTGGAGAGAATAGCTAGAGAACCCAGGCCAGCTCCCACTCTGCCCTGATGTGTTAGGTACAGCATGTCCTGTCCCTGCTTACTTCTAAGACAATACCTCCCCTGTATTTGTCTGGCCTCCCAATTCCCATGGGCTGTGAGGGTCTGGGGGCTGCTAACATGTTGGCACTGGAGACCCCTGCTCAGGAAACATTCTGGGATTTCATTTGTGGTATGGAACGGCCTCCTTCAGATGTCTTCCAATGCCAGAATTTGGGAGCCACCATGCAGGTGTAAGGCCCAAAAAGGAATTCCCGCCCCCAGTAGCAACCTGTCTTTTTATTTGTGTTGATAATCACCCCTCATCAACTTCAACTCCATTCTTCGGTACCTGCCTCCCAGAGAGATTGGGATCTAGTAGAATCCCATCCCAAGCCTACTACGTGAGACAGACAGACGATTTTTAACTCCCTGTGTGTCCAGAGGGTCATGATAGATTCTAGTCATTAAATTAATAGCCTTCTGGTCTCAAGAACACATTGCTTAGGGAGTAGGCTGAGCCCTTGAAGACAGGAAGAGCAGAGTGAGTGGTCTCTAACTGGGGCTGCAGGGGATCCAGCCTGTCCGTGGGCCACAGGAAAGCCCAGGCTCCACAGGAGGGAGAGGCTGAGAGCCCGTGAGTCAGTCCTCATCCTGTGCTTCACCTTCCTGCCCTGTGATGTAGGAAGTGTCTCAGTGGGTGGCAGGTGTCACCTGCCCTCTCCATGTGCTGGAACCTGGCAGCCCAGCTCTAGTTTGCCTGCTTTGGGCATCCTGCTCCAGCCAATCCACCTAGACAGAGCACTGTGCCACAGCCCTGCAGCCAGGTTTCTCTGGCTGGCATTTGAAGTTGCTGAGCCTGCAGAAACCCAGGCTTCTTGCTGTCCATTCCTTCCTCACCCTGTCTGTGCCAGTGTCCCCTGATCTCACAGTGGACACAGATAACCTTTCCTTCGCCCCATCCCCTGCACTGAGAGCTGTTCCTATGTGGGGATATTGATAACATGTTGTTCTCCTCCACAAACCCCCCCACCTCACGTGGATGGTCCCAGCTCACCATCCCCTCCTGGAAGAGACCTTCATCTTCCTGTCTCCATACCACCCCAGCCAGAGTGTACACAGAGCAGGCAGGTGTGGCAGCCTGGTCTCCTCTCTCTCCTCGCTCACTTCCAGCTGATGTTTTCTTCTCTCTCCCTCTCTCAGTCTTCCTCTCTCCTTCTCTTCTTCCTTTCCCTCCTTCCTTTATTTTGAAACAAGATCTTATGATCCAGGTAGGTCTCAAATTCAAGATGCTCCTACCTCTGCTACCCAAGTGCTGGCGTTCCAGATGTGCACTGCCATGCCTGGCCCTCCAGCTGACGTTTGCTTTGTCCCGCTGCAGTCTCCTTAAAGGTCCCTAAGCAGCTGTTCCAGGACTGTGCAGAGATCAAGCGCTCCGGGACCAACGCCAGCGGCGTCTACACCATCCATGTGGCCAACATGACAAAGCCTCTCAAGGTTAGGGGCTCCTGGAGATGGTGCTGAACTGAGGGCTTCTCTGACAGACTCTCCCACCCCACCCACCCCATCAATACTAGGCTTTATCACCATCTGAGAGCCCAGAGAAGGAGGGAGCCCTGCTTCTGGAAACTCTCACCAGGCAGGTTTCTGAGGAAGGGAGGAAGCAGACGTTGACAAAGCCGGCAGTATAGCCTTTATCTCCGTCTTCTCCAGAAGCAGGCTTCGAAGCAGAATCTCAGGAAATTGTTCTTTGTTGGTAAAGATGGCCAGCTGCTCACGTAACTGACAGCCCTAGGCACTCCTGTTTGTCTTTGTCCAAGCAAGTTATTCCATTTACACAGTCCAGGAGAAGCAGGAGTTGGGTCTATGAAGCTGGTGATGGGCTGACTGGGGGTGGGGTGCCATCTGGTGAGAGGCTCCAAGGTAGCCCTGAGCTTGACACTCATCCACGATAGAGAGTCAGAGGAAGTACGGATGTCAGGAGCAAGGTTCAGGGCAGGCGAGAGGGAATGGGAGTGGTCCTTTTGCGGGACCAAACTGACTTTTCTGCATATATTGGAGGCAGTAGCCTGGTTTGACCCCAGACTGACCTCTGTGTTTCTATATAACCTGCCACACTCCCCTCTCCACACAGAGATCAAGGCAAGGAACTTGCTCTAGCAGAATCTAGCTGTTTCTTCACAACACTCTTGCTTTCCTCACTGTTCACTGCCATCCAGACAGAGCGAGTGTCTCTGGCTTTCCCTTTGCAATGCTGAGAAGTCTTCCTTTCCGATGGCTGTTTACCCTGTGAGTGTGAGCCCAGAAATGCCAGCACTTTGAAGTAAATGTGTCGTGTGAAGTTGAGTAAGTTGTGGTAGAATGTGGGCAGGTGTGAATGGCTGGAATTTGGGACCCCTGATGGAGACACAGGAGCTGGCCTGGAAGGGAAGCCTTCTGAGCTCAGACCTCAGTGTGTCTTTGGTCTTGCTTAGCTGCACACCTCTCTGGGCTTCCTGTACCCTTTGTGCTCACCACAACAGGTGTCCTGCCTTCCCTCCTTCCCTCCCTCTGTGGACCTGCTGAGCCCCACTCCTGCTCTCTCTCTCTCCATCCATCTCTACTTCTAAGCACATCATCATCTGATACCCCCTTCCAGAAGCACCTCTTCCAGGAAGCTTTCCAGGAGTCTCCAGGGACTGTCTCCTTGTAGCTACTCAAGCAGTCCCACTCCCAGTAGTCAGCCTGCCCTGTCAGAGCCTCCTTCAGAGCAGCCAACTCTGCGAGTTGATCTATCTATCTCCCATTTACCAATAACACCCGTGCTCATTGTTTGATGAACATGGACTGAACCAATTGGAAGAGTGTGTGAGCAAAGTCAGGCTTGAAAGAGTCAGCTGTACTAGGCTGCAAGCCCTTTGGAAGAAAGGCCCTTGTGTCTTATTCACACATCCAACCCCTGTCTTAAACAGAGGTTAGCATGAAGGCGCTCAGAAGACCTTCATCCAGTCTTTCCATAGGAAGAGCACTTCCGAGTCTACATTGTATCCAAATTCCCTCTGCTTGCTATGGTTCGACCTCATGAGGTCGTGAGCTGAGTACTTGGTTTTCAGCTGGTGGTGCTATTCTGGAAGGTTCCAAAAAGCACAGGCAGTAGAGCCTAGTTGGAAGAAGTCAGTAGGAGCACACCTGTCAAACCTCAGTCCTTCTTCACTCTCTGCTTCCTGTCTACCATGAATTGAAGCAACACACATGCACATAAAACACACAACACACATGCACACATACACACAAGCACGTGCACATGCGCACACACACATGCACCTGTCGCATTTTGTCCCAGGACAGAATGCCAAGCAATTGTGTCCCTGAAAACACTCTTAAGCCATGAGCAAAATAAGTCCTTCCTCCCTCGAGTTGTTTCTGCCAGGTGTCTAGCATGAACTCTGACCCTGGCTGCACCCCTGCAGTACTAACAACTGAGAAGCACCCCGTGTATGTGCAGCCTCTATTCAGAATGTTTGTGATAGTTTGCATTGTTTGTGGAGAACAGGGACGTGAAGAGGTCACAGTATTAACACCCCACTTGGCAAACGAGGAGGAGGCTCTGAGAGGGTATCTCTCACCCGCCTCCTTGAGAGATGATGGCAGTTGGGTGGGGAGTCTGGGTCTGTATTTTCCTGATGCTCTTGACCCCAGGTTCACTGCTGCTGGAGAAGAACAGAGTTCAGCCGAGTTACTTTTAGGCTGGCTGAGAGTTGGCTGGCAGCGCCTCCAAGAGCTTCCAGCTGTGTTGTGTTTCTCCCGCCAGGTGTTTTGTGACATGGAGACTGATGGAGGCGGCTGGACTCTCATCCAGCGCAGGCAGGATGGAAGCATGAGTTTCCAGAAGACCTGGGAAGAATACAAAGAGGTAATATGCTGTCCCGGGGGCTCCCAGCCCAGAGTTTGGGCAAGGGATGCTGTGGGTGGGGACTGGTACACCCTTACCTCTCCCCAGGGTGAACGCCCTGCTCACCTAAAGTCAACTGTCCTGGCTCATTTGTTTTTCCAAATCCCGGCCTCAAACTGAGTCCTCTTTTGACATTTCTCATGCACCCAAAGAATGTACTTTTATTTTTGTTTTAATATTTGGAAAAGTATCACATGCATGTTGGTAACTCTTTTCAAAGACCCCAAAGGAGGGACTGGAGAGGCAGCTCAGTAGGTGAAATGCTCGCCAGGTGAACACAGGAACCTAAGTGTGATCCCCAGAATCTATATAAGAAAGCCAAGAAGGGTGGCACACACCTGGGGTTCCAGATCTGGAGATGCAGACAGACAGATCTCTGGAGTTCAAGACTCACTAGCCTAGTGAACTGTCCAGCTCCAGGCCACTGAGAGATCCTATCTCAAAACAAAGAGGAGAGCACACACACAGACAGCACATGCACACAGCACATGTGCACACACGCACATAGCACACATAAACACACATGCACACGCATATGCACACACATATAGCACACAAACATACACACGTTCATATACACAAAAATAATGCAAAGAATAAAACAGGAAAAAAACTCCCCATTATCCCTGACTATATGGCTTAAATAGATTTTTTTGAGACAGTATCTCTTTACATAGTACTGATTTTCCTGGAACTCATTCTGTAGATCAGGCTGGCCTTGAACACACCTGTCTCTGCTTCCTGAGTACAGGATTAAAGGTGCACGCCACTAGCCTCTACAAATTTCTTCATCTTTGTACACATCTGTAACACACCTACAAGACAAATTTCTCCTCCTCCTCCTCCCCTTTCCCTTCCCCCTCCTCCTCCTCCTCATCATCCTCTTCCTCCTCTTCTGGATTTACTGTATTTCAAGTTGACCTCAAAGTCTCTTTGTAGTTGAAGATGACCTTCAGCTTCTGATCCTTCTGTCTCCACCTTCACAATGCTAGGCTTATAGGGGTGATTCCCCAAGGTGGGACTGCTGCCTCAAGGAACACACACGCTGTATAGGATGGCTCAACTGCCTTCCAATTTTATGTTTTCAGCTAAATTTTGAACACAGGATTTTTGGCAAGCTGACTTAAAAGCCCTTAAAGTTTTCAAAAGCAAAAGAAATAGAAAAAGATATTCACAAGGACTCAAGCAATTGGTATCCACCAGCCAGTAGTTGACATTAAGCAGCCAGCAAATCAAGGGCACAAAGTACACTGTGTAGCCCTGTCCTTGGTCCTGAGAGAGTTCTCTGCCAAGGTCATCGGTTTCTTGCTACCCTGGAGCTCAGATCACAAAGACACTCTGAGAATGTGTAGCCTTGCATTTCTCTGTTGCTGAAACTGTCAGGTCTCTCTCCTGCCTCTGGGGAAATGTGCTCCTGCCACACTTGCCTGGCAGCTGGCTCAGCCGCTCAGCCGTTTCCTTCCTGCTGAGGCTTAACCTGCATGCAGCTGAGTCCACAACTAGAAAGCAGAAAGCTCCGCGGATTTTCCCACAGGCTCACCCGTGTGATCTCCATGCACAGCTAAATACCCAACCTCCTGGAAAGTCCCCCTGTGCCTCCTCTCCCTAGCTGTGTCCCCAAAGTAGGGTTATTCCTTTCTTACGTTTATCTTATTGTCTGTGGGTGTGAGTTTACCTGTGTGGAGTACCCACACATGTGGGTTTGTGTTCCCAGTCATGCTAGGAAGCCAATGGAAGATGTCAGGTGTCCTGCTCTGTAGCTCTCTTCCTCACTCCCTTGAGTCAGGATCTCTTACCTAGAGCTAGACTGGTGGCCAGCAAGCGACAGTGATCCTCTTATCTCTGCATTGTCCAGGGGTGTCGGGGGTTCAAACTCAAGCCCACATTCTCAAACAGCAAGCCACAGTGATCCTCTTGTCTCTGCAATATCCAGGGGTGTCGGGGGTTCGAACTCAAGCCCGCATTCTTACACAGCATCTGCTCTTCCCCCACTGAGCCATTCCCCCAGCTATTCCTATCTCTGTCACCACGAATGAGTTTTGGGTGTTTCTGCCTTTAGAGGAATGTGATTTCGATTATTTTTAATGGGCTTACATTTCACAAACACTTTATCTTTGTTCCCTGGAGGGATCTTCTGTCCCAGGGCTGTGCACACTGTTCTTATGAACTTGCTCATGAGGCATTGACTTCGGATAAGTGGCCACGGAGTCTGGGCTGGTCCAGCTCCTCAGCCACAGACAGCACCTCCCTCTTCAGCACACAACCACACTTTCCTCTCCTCCCCACAGGGCTTTGGTAACGTGGCTAGAGAGTACTGGCTGGGCAACGAGGCTGTTCACCACCTCACCAGCAGGACGGCCTATTTGCTGCGTGTGGAGCTACGTGACTGGGAAGGCCTCCAGACCTCCATTGAGTATGAGCATTTCCAGCTGGGCAGTGAGAGGCAGCGGTACAGGTGGGCTTGGGGCCCAGGCTTGTGGGTGGTTCGGGGCCCAAGGCAAGTGGCTTGCAGAGTCGGCACCATGGGTCATTCCCTGGGCGTCTCCTGCTTCCACCATCTGGCCCCTATTTGGGCGCACGTCACGGGATCTGGAGGTGGCTGCTTAGCACTCAGCACATCTCGGCCACTGGGTGGGGTGAAGAGACTGTCAGGGACACCACCATGCCTAGAGCAAGAAGGGATCTTCCAAGGTTAGTCAGCCTACTTACAGGCAGCAGGAGCGGGGGTTGACTTCTCAGTCTGTGCCCTGTGGTGAGGTGCGAAAGTCCCCACACTGGGAGAAAGAACACTTCCCAGCACTGCTATCTGCAGCTCTGAATAAAACTTGGGCCCATCCATGTCTGCATTCTCTGGGCTCCTTAGCAGTGCTGAGCACAGGGGTAGGGTCAAGTCATCAGGGTCTCCTGCCCCTCCCTCTGTCTGGTTTAAGGTATGTGATCAGGAAGAGCAGCAGGCATTTCCCAGGCACCTGCTGTGTTCTGGGCACAGTTTAGCTCTCTCCTCAAGCTAGTAAGGTGGACATTACTTTCTATGGCTTGGTGATGAGGGAACTGAATCTTTAAAGTGACAAGTTGGGTGGATCCGGGATTTGAACTTAGTTCTCGTTGTTATCAAACCCACTGTGTCTCCACTGTGATGTTACCTCTCTGGGGCACTACTGATCTTCAAATGAAGCCAGTATCTTAGCTGTCTTTGGATCAGGCTAGAATAAGCTTATGGACTCGCCCACGGGGTTACAAGGGTGTCCCCTGACACCTGGCGCCTCTACAGCTGCAGACAACTTCCACAAAGCTGGGGAGGCTCTTATTTCCTCCCAGGGAAATCTCTAAATGACTCTTCATGGAAATGTAGTTCTGAGAACCTTCCCTGGCATCTCTCCCCCATGCTTCCCTTTTCTTATGAAAGGTCCTTGCTTCCTCCAGCCGAGTGGGCCTGCCAGCCTCCCTTGTGGGACCCACCCTGAGGCTTGAGGTGCAGGAGGCAGAGCTGAATGGAGCATCCCTAAGGCTGAGCTGCGCAGGGCTGAACCAGGAGCTCCAGATCCTCAGGGCTTTCCAGGGGAAACTTGGCATGCCCTGCGTGTGCCTACTGATGCCGCTGACCTGTAAAGAAAAGCCGTGTCCCACCTGTACCCCTTTCTGAGTGACTCTGAACATACTTCCCTACCCAGTTCAGGGGGTATGGGCTCAGATGTGGGGTTCCACCTAAAGCACCCTCACAGTACCTGGCAGGTAAATGGTGTTGTAACAGCTGTTCCTGTTGGCAGCCCTCATGTGCCATTGGCCTGCTCTGTGAGAGCTGGAGTCTGGCATCATAACCTGTGGTAAAGCTCCTAGCAGACAGTGAGTGCTGGGTAAATGCTTGATTCAAAGGCGGAACTCCACCACCCCAACATCTGTCTAACAGTGTAGGAGGTTCGCGTTTACCATACAAAGTTGTGCTCAGGTCCCCGCCCTCCTGAAGTTCTTACATGTAAACTGGGTGCTTTATATATCTCCGGCTTTGCCTCTGAACCATGAAGGGCTCCCTGCTACTGGCTCTCAAAGAGCAACATGTACTTAATAGCTGCAGAGCCCTAATGACAGGGTATTGAAACTTGCCCCGTGCCAGGCATGTGCTGGTCACTTAGGAAAGACTCCGGCCTGGACCGACTTCCACAAAGTTGCTCATATCCCAGTGTGGTGATGGTGTGGTGGGGGATAAACATGTCCACAGGCAACCCACTTCCTCCAGAGAGGCAGTAGCTGGCAGGGACAATATCCAGGGCCATAGAGATCCTGTACACTCAAAGAGGTTTTCTAGGAGAGGAAAGGTTTGTGGCAAATGAGTCTCTTTTGGAGGGGAATCCCAGAAAATGAGATTTTCTCCAAAACAGCAGAGAGGGATGGAGAGATAGCTCAGTCAATAGAGCCCCTGCCTTTCCTGCATAAGGACCCAAGTTCAATCTCCAGAACCCAAATTTTTAAAGCCAGGCATGATGGCACATGATTATATGCCCAGCGCTGGAGAAAAAGTCAAAAGGATCACTGAAGCTCACAGAGCTAATGAAATAAATACCCTGTTTCAAAAAATAAAACGTCTAAGGAAGGACACCCGAGATTGTCCTCTGGCCTCCATGTGCACACAAACATATATGTGCACTTGTACACACACACACACACATTTGAAAAAGGCAAAGAGTTGACATCCAGCTGGGTTACACATTCCCCAAGCCCGAATAAGATGTTCACTAGGGCTTCTGGGGCCAGGAAGACTTAGGGTGGGCATGGGGGTCCTAGAAACTACTGAAAGGTCTGAAAACTACCAAAGGAGGAGCAGGGGAAAAAGATAACCACTTGCACTGGAACCCAGGTCAGCAGCTAAGGTGGGAGGACCCGCAGGAGAGCCCAGAGGGATGAAAGGGCTAGCAGCGACAGGCAGGAGGCGCCCTTGTATGTCAGATGCAGGGACAGGACTGCTCAGAACATAGTGGGACACCCTTCATGCTCTCATTTTGGGGATTCACTAGAGACTCAAGCATCTGGGTTTCTTCAGACATATGTGATCAAAGTGAGGTTTTCCGGACCCTGAGGTAGAGGTACCCAGAGAATTATTGACTCCCATTCTGGTTCCCAGAAAGAAGAGGGACATCCCCAAGTTTAATGGCCAGAGGAAGAAGCCAGAGCCTATCAGTGGGTTGGCAACCTGTGAGTCTCCACCCTGGAGCCCCTAGCCAGTCACAACACTGGTCCCTGGAGCTAGAGTAACATGGTTAAGGGCCTTCGTGGCTGGTTATGAATACCCTGCCTTTCCACAGAAAGATAGAGCCTGTGAATGAGAGGCATGGATTGAGTCAAGCTGCCCTGGCTGGCCCCCTCCATCTGCTTCCCTCTAGTACAGAAGCATCTTAGTGGTTCTCAAGTCAGCTCCTGCCTCAGCTGCTCAAGCAAGCTTCCCCTCATTTTTTCAGTCAGGCTGACCTGTCCCCAGGACTAAATCACCAGTCCTGAATGTATGGAGTTCTCACCAATGGCCCCCCCAACCCCTCAGCACACTTTGCCTGCTGATGTCACTAAATCACAAGGTGAACAAAGTCACAGTAAGTCTCTTGTCACCATTTACATAAAAAGTGAAGGCGCCCAGTCTCAGTGGGGTGAAGATGCCTTCCCAAAGTCAGGCAGTGACCAACTGGCCATGCTGGGGTTTGAATCCAGGCACTCTGTCCTACCCCATTCCCATGGCTATTATTACACCTTAGGCTTTGGCATAGTTACCAGGGATAGAGAGTCTGGCAAAGAATCAAAAGCCCTCTGTCCCCTAGCTGGGGGTTTCCTGAGTGTTGATCGATGGGGGCTGGTGTGTCCTGTCCAGGGAAGGCTTTCAGGAAGAGGTGAGGGATAGAATGGCTGCGGTACACCGAGGTTGCTGGGCTGTCAGTTGGTGGGCAAAGGATGTAACCGGGCCCATACCAGGCCACTCCAGACAAGAGTCTAGCTCTGATGGCTACTGATTCTGAGAACTGAACATCCTTCTTTGGCTCTTGCTTCCCCACGTCCTCATGTAGAACAAGGTATTGTGAGGTTTAAATGAAAACAAGTTGGCTCTCTCAAGACACTGTAACAATGTCTGGCCCAGGGCGGATGCTCAAAAGGCTGCTAGCTGCTGTCCTTATTCTGTGCCTCCCACCCAGAGCTCTTTAGGACTCAAATTCAGCAAATAAGGAAGAGCCAGCAGCAGTAAGTGCTGTGACCCCAGAGTAGCAAGTGAGGAGGGACAATGGTCTGGTCATCCGAGCGGGTTGTTTCCCCTGCAGAAACATCAGGAAGGAAACTTTGCCAGAACAAAACTCTTTGGAGAACACCAACCTGACTCTGCACCCCTTTCTTACCCTACTCCCTTCTCCTGGGCCTCTAGCTTCTCTGTAAATGCAAGCAGCAGCTCATCAGGGTTCAAGAACAGCCTGGCTCCGCAGGGCACCAAGTTCAGCACCAGCGACATGGACAATGATAACTGCATGTGCAAATGTGCTCAGATGATGTCTGGAGGTGGGTGTGCTCAGATGATGTCTGGGGGTGGAGGAGGGTATTTCCAGATGATGTCTGGGGGTGGGTGTGTCCAGATGATGTCTGCTCAGATGACATCTGGAGGTGGAAGAGGATATGTCCAGATGATGTCTGGAGGTGGGTGTGTCCAGATGATGCCTGGGGGTAGATGTACCCAGATAACATCTCAAGGGGGGAAGGGTATGTTCAGATGCTATCTGGAGGTGGGCATTCCTGGTGAGGCTCTAGCCAACCCTCCCTCTTTCAGATCATTAGAGTCCCCATGGGTACTTCTATAGCAACACCCCTAGAATTCCTTAGAGATTAGCTGGGAGGCACCAAGAGTAGCTCAAGGAAAGCACAATGCCCATCAACGCCACTCTCTTGTCTGAGGATTTCCCCACTCCCCAGGCCAGATGGAAACAGCATCGGGGAGACTAGAAGCAAGAACGGCAGGTCCATTCCACACGTCTATGTCAGACAGTGCTCTGGTAGGGACAAAACTCAGAGGATGGAGATGGGAAGGGGAAAAACAGAAGAGCCTCAAGTCATAGAGACAAGGGCCAGAGGAGGCCAAGAGTGACACAAAGTGGTAGAGGCAGAGAGGTGCAGGTGACAGCAGGCTGAGGGAGGAGACAGACGGGAGGTGTGCAGAGTACACTGGAGACAGAGCCCCAGGGGAAGGACAGAAACCGCACGAGCCAGAGGACACAGACAGAGGACACAGAGAGGGACATCCACAAACAGAGACCTCTAGAGAGAACAACAGGAAGGTGTGATAGAGCATGGTAGGAGCTCATCAAGGGAAGAAGAGGGGATAGGGTGTCAGGAAGACAGCAGGAAGTCACAGAAGAGCCTGAGCCGTGGCCAGAGCCTCTGCTGACCTCCAAAGCTCCGGCTTCACCTCTGTCCATACCCAGTCCATGACCTCCAGCAAGCCAGTACCCCAAGATGACAGCCCACCAGCCCTACCCTCCTAGAATCTAGGCCAACACATCCCACCTCCTCCAAACTCTGTCCTCCCTCTTCCACTAGGGTGGTGGTTTGATGCCTGTGGCCTCTCCAACCTCAATGGGATCTACTATCCAGTTCGTCAACACTTGCACAAACTCAATGGCATCCGCTGGCACTACTTCCGGGGCCCCAGCTACTCATTGCAAGGCACACGCATGATGCTGCGGCCAATGGGTGCCTGACACACAGCCCTGCAGAGACTGATGCCATGGGAGGACACTCAACCCAAATGGCTCTGTGCAAGCTTGGCCCCGCCCAGAAATCAGTGCCCAGGGCTCATCCTTGACATTCTAGGACATCAGAGCCAGCTTACCTTGCCCCCAAATTACAAAGAGTCGCCTGCCTCCCTGTGGCCTCCATTGTGAAGTGCTGGGTGCCTAAGGCACTATACACTACTTCCTCCCACCACCTGCAGGGACTCGCCACAACCAGAGGAAGACTGAACTTGACACCTCAGAGGGCAGGGTTACAGCAGATGGGAAAAGCTTGCAGACTGGGGATGCCCTCCTCCTCTATTCCCCTTCTCCAATTCCAAGTTTCTCCAGCCTTGAGATGACTGCAGACTTTCTTTCCAAGGCTTAGACACTGTTCCAACTCCCCTACCCACACCCCCAGTGCTAGCCATTATTTCCCAGTGTTCCATGACTCCTGGACTTCAATGGCTAACTGTCAGACCTGGTTTCTCAGAAGGTTCTAGAAGGACGAGAGGTATCTTTTGACTCCAGCGTGCCCTTGAGTGTTTTCCACAGGTAATAACCAAGGCTTCTCTCTAAAGTACGTAGGAGGAAATGAGAGAACCAGCAGGTCAAATAAAAAGAATAGGTTTCCTTAACTGCATTACTTGTCAGAATCTTGTGTTCCCAAGCCTTGTGGCCACCCATGAAGGGGTAGGGGAAGCAGCTTTCTCCAAATGTACTTACTTGAAAATGAGGGCTGGCAAGATGGCTCCATTGGTAAAAATTCTTACCTTGCAAATATGAGGACCCAAGTTCAGACCCCCAGCACCCACGTAGAAAGCCGAGTGTGGCCATGAGGACCTATACTCAGCACGAGGGAGGCAGAGACCAGTGACTCTCTGGAGCTTGCTGGCCAGCCAACCTAGCTGAACCAATGAGAGAAAAAAATAAGGTGGAGAAGCGGCTGAGGAAGACCTGAGTTGACCTCTGGCCTCCACATGTATGTTTTTTTTTTTTTTTTAATAAAGTCATATTCTTTCTATCTCAGGGCCATGAGTTCCCTTGGAAAAGCTGGCCCTTACCTGACATGGGGAGGGTCCCTAGGGACAAGTTCTCCACTTCACTGCTCCACCTTCGCTGGCTACAAGGACCATCGGGAGGCCTCAGACGGCCCCTAAAATACAACTAGCAGGAAGCTTGTATTAAAATAGACACGTGCCGTTAAAGATGGTTCAAGAACAGAGACCCTCTCTGTGCTAGGAGTTCTTCTCCTCCAGGGTTCCTTCCGACCCCAAGAAACTGCCCTTGGGGCTCCTCAGCCACCCTGGTTCACTCCGGCAACTGTCAGGACTGACACCAGTGCCAACGGATCCTTCCTGCCTCGTCCAATACAGCGGTGCCCCTCTGTCTCTGGAGGAGGTGAGGACTCAGCAGTCACAGCGCCCCCATGACCTCTAAGATGCTCTAACTGAAAAGGGGACACACAGCGTGCTTTTGCCTGATGTTTCACTGTGCCCCCTTCCACAGTCCTCACAGAGCTGCTAACACCCCTGACACCCAGCCCAGCCAGGAATCACTTTTCTGAGTTCTCCCGGGCAAGGTAGGTCTGCAGGGATAGGCTCCATCCTCCCTGGAGTCCAACAATGCAGGGGCATCTCTGGCAGAACCAGAAAAGATCTAGGAACAGGCTGCTGCACAGAAAGCTCAAATTATCTTACTCCGCATTTACCCAGCAGAATTTTACTTAGCACATACTATATGAGACTGGGAAAGGTAGAAAGAGGTTCAAACTGGCTCTGAGACCCTAAGCCAGTGGTTCAGCTTCCCATGGCCTTTATTTTCCTGCCAGAGAAATGGACCCAGTAATGTTCCTTTCCAGCTGTGCTGTACTATGGAGGAACGACGCCACACGTAACATGTCCTGGTCTCCTGGCAGAATGTTAGTTCCCGAGCTGAGGAGATGACCTTGTCAGTAAAGTGCCCATGTGGACACATCATGAGAAACTGAGCTTAATCTCCAGAACCCATGTGAGAAGATGGGCACAGTGGCTGCTCCTGTCATCCCAGCGCTGAGGAGGCAGAGACAGGTGGGTCTCTGGGCTCACTGGAGAGTCAGTCTGTGGAAGCATCAGATCTGAGTGAAAGACAAAAAGGGTAGCCCCTAAAAAATGACATCTGAGGTTGACCTCTGCCCTACACACACACACACACACACACACACACACACACACACACACACACCACACTAGTTCCCCAAAAGGCCAAAGGACAGAGGAAGGCTACCTCTTTCCAGTGTGTGCTACTACTCCTGATCCCAGCATGCAGGGAGCATCCGGATCAGAGATGCAGATGTGGTTCTGAAGAGCCCTGGTCCTCTCTGAGCATCAGTGTCTCGTGAAGCACCCACCAACAGTCCGAGGACGGCAGCGCTGGCTCACCACAGCTGCTGAAGGAACCCCGCAGGGACAGAGGTGACTTGGGGATCAGGCTCCATCTCCTGGGGCTGCAGTTTCTCGGAACTGGATCGGGGATATTTGTTCCTGAAATTCCTACCCAAAATCTTTGTCACCTCTTCTTGCCTTAGCTCAGAGTCCTTCCACGTCTGAGGTGAAGGAAGAGAGCTTTGTCTAGGTGCATAACCTCTCACTTCGGCACACATGCAGCCCTGAGCTGCCCCCTTCCTTGAGCTCTGTGGAGACATGTGGCCACCTACCATAAAAATGCTAAAGTGTTGTCCTTGCTGCCCACCACAAGAGCTAAAGGAACTTTCTAGAAAGACCTCCAAGACCAGCTTGCCCTCACTGGTGCCTGGGGAGTCCTGGTAGGTCCTGGTGGAGCCAGGCAGGCAGCACACACTGTTCCTAAGAGCACCGTGTGGGACCAGAAAAGGCTGTTTCTATACCGGAGTTCACTGTGTTCATGCCAGGGACCTAACAAGGGGCAACAGCTAAGGTGGCCCTTGGAGGAGCGAGATAGGAAGCAGGCAGCCCTCGTGGAAGGGTTCAGGAATGGAGCCTTCTCTGGGTTTTCCTTCCCATCACAGGCTGTAAGCCTTTGCTTCGCTTGTAAAGATGCTTTGGAAGGCAGGCAATGTTGCCTTGGCAACAGTAGCAGCAGCAGCAGCAGCCTCTTTAGTGGAGCAGCTTTTCAGCATTGAATCAGCATTGGACATCAGTGTTCACATGGGTGAATTCACTTGCACAGCTGTGATTGGTTGAAGACCCACCTGGACCAAGGCCTGGCTGGGTGGTGGGGCTGGGGCAGTGTGTGAACAGATGTCTACAGCCCACCCCGCTGAACTGAACAGACTTAGGGGAGACGGCAAAGGAGCAAATTAAACGTAGTCAAGATGAAGTGAATAAAGAATACACCACAAAATGTAGACAATACACAGGACAGACCAGAGAGAATTGCAGAGAAAACAACTCAGGGACTTCTAAGGAGACAGAGGGTGTGTGTGTGTCTGTGTCTGTGTGTGTGTTCCCTTTCATGTGTGTGTGTTGGGAAGGTCAGAGGATGACATCAGGTGTCTCCCTCAATCGCTCTCCACACTGTTTTGAGACAGGATCTCTCACTGAACCTGGAGCTCCCAGACTGCCTGGACAATTAGCACCAGGAATCTTTCTGTCTCTGCCTTGCCAGTGCTAGAATAACAGGCGTGCACCACCATGTCAAGCTCTCAATGTGGTGGTGATCTGAACTCAGGCCCTTATACTTGTGTATCAAGCACCTTACTGACTGAGCCATCTCCCCAGCCCTAAGGAGATGATCTTCTTCCTCCTCCTCCTCCTTCTCCTACTTTCTTCTTCTCCTTCTCCTCCTCCTTCTTCTCCTCCTCCTCCTTGTTCTCCTCCTTCTTCTCCTCTCTCTCCTCCTCCTCTTCTTCTTCTTCCTCCTCCTCCTCCTTCTTTCTTCTTCTCCTTCTCCTCCTCCTTCTTCTCCTCTCTCTCTCCTCCTCCTCCTCCTCCTCCTCCTCCTCCTCCTCCTCCTTCTTCTCCTCTCTCCTCCTCCTCCTCCTCCTCCTCCTCCTCCTCCTCCTTCTCCTCTCTCTCTCCTCCTCCTCTTCTTCTTCCTCTTCCTCTTCCTCTTCTTCTCCTTCTCCTCCTCCTCCTTCTTCTCCTCCTCCTTCTCCTCCTTCTTCTCTCTCTCTCCTCCTCCTCCTCCTCCTTCTCCTCCCTCATGCAAGGGGCTACAGGGACACTGTAGACCCAACCCAGCTGCTCCAGAGCAGATCCTGTCTCCATCCCACTGCCCTGTGACCTGCTGAAAGGGACGCAATTGAACACTGGGTGTTTCCTGGACGCTTTCAACCAGCACTGGAACTTACCACAGAAAACAAAATTCACTGCCGGGCCCTCTTGCCTCACAAGAGATGGGGCCTTTGTTTGGATTTCTGACTTCCTGACTGTCCTGCCATGGTTTCAGGACACATGGGAACACACCAGGCAGGAATTCTGCTTCTGCACTATGTTCCCAGCCCTAGCTGGGCAGCCTCTGTGTTGATTCTGGTCGGGGAGCAGGGGAGGGTTGTGGGATCCTGAGTGCCCCCTGGCTGGTCCAGTTCTTTCCTGGGTGGCCAGTACCTGCCCTGTTTCCCATCCAGGATCTGGGAGCCATTGTGCCTTGGGATAGAGTAGATTAAGGAAACAGTGTGCTAGGACCCACACCGAGATGCAGTTGGTGACCACTGTGCTAAGGATGGTCTAGGTGCAGCTGTGTTTCCCCCATCATCTCCTTCTTCTTGCTCATTGTCACTACTGAATCTCAGATATGGGCCTCAAATGCTCTTGGGCCCATTTCAAGCACAGAAGCCAATCCAGGAACCTGCTCTTCTCCTGCTGTTTGGGGAAGGACTTCAGGGCTCCATGGGAACACAGTTTGAGAATGAGCCCAATAGAAAGGTCAAAGATTATCTAACACCCCTACCTCTGTGTCCCTGGGCCAAAGGGACACAGGAGTCAGAGGGCGGAAGGCACATTAGCCTCTGAGAAGCATCAGGAGGAAATGAGTGAATGGTGGTCAATTCAGTGGAAGGGGTGCCCATGGTAGGAGGCTTGGAGTAGCGCCCAGGGTCCTGGGAACTTTCGCC